AAAGGGTTATATGCGAGGGTCGTAAACGGCAAACTCTTTTCGCTGGAACAACTTTCGCACTTTTTCGCAAAACTCGACGTTCAATAAAAGCATAAAAAACCCTTTCAGCTCGCAGGGCAATCATAAATTTCCCATTTTCCTCGAACATGTGTGGCTCGCTGGAAGCTGATTAAAACTTATCGCAAAAATATTTGCCATCAACAATTTGCTTAGTCTCCCAGCGATTTGGCGTCTTTTGTTGCTTTGTTCGCGTGGGCAAAGGTTGAAGACATCGCGAAGGTCAATTGAATTGCAACGGGCAGCAGGGCTACCTGCTGTTGCTCATTGACTCCCGCTGCGGTTGGATTATGTGCGGATTTGCATTGAGCTAATCTCACATAATCAACATAATGACTATATGTCTTCATAGTCAGTCATGGCGATTAGCACGGAGCATGCGAAAATAGAGTCAAGAAGTCAGCAAAGTCAATAGAGGATAATCCGCTTTCGGGTTTTTCTTTTCCCACTACAGAGGAGCACTCCATGTGCCTGCAAATCTTTCAACAATTTCCGGACTCTGAATCGCCAGCGCTTATCGCATTTCTAAACTAACTAAAATGCAACTGCAACTGCAACTCAAACTTTCTCTGCAACTGCCGAAGTCGCAGCAAAACATTGCCGATAAGATTAGCGAGTGAGGCAAACGGGCACACAGACAGAGACAGACGGACGGACAGACAGACAAGGCTGAAGACATTATGCCACAGATTAAGTGTGTTGCAAGTCAGCGCAGCTCAGTGCGCTGCAGCTTTTACAAGTACTTATTTGATACACTAGCCTCAATGTGTTATGACTATCCCATCAAATTTGGAAACATTTAAGGAAAAATATGAAAATTTGATTTTTATATACAGAAGTGTTCATAAAAATAGTAGTGCTGCACTAGACAAAACTTAAACCAAATGAAAAGGCAGTTTATCCATGCATATATGTATATATACTAGCTAGATCTGAAAAGATATTGAAAATTCGGACTTGGTTTTTTTTTTTGCATCACCCTAACTAAACTATGTTAGAAATCATGTAAACTCTCTAATATATGTAGGGTATTTCAAATTCGTTTTTCAGTTTTTCTTTGCTTTCCTTTATATATTTATTTGTTGGTTTTTTATCAGCAGTTCCTCGAGCCGGGGGAGTTGAATGCACTTGCGAACTAGTTTAGTTTGAATTCAGATTTGGCCGCATAGTATATATATAGCTATATATATATATCATATAGCATATAGAAATCCGTATGCAACAAGCAAAGGGTCTGCCAAAAACGTCAGTCTGTTGAATGCGGTTGACCTTAATTTCTCGGCCATGATTAATGAATCGAGCGAGTATAAAAAAATAAACAACAAAAAGCAGCGACCACAAAAGCAGCGCCAGAAGGAGGAGGAGGAGGCGTAGAAATTAATGATGCACAATTGCAGGCGAACGTTGCAAGCCAATTGCCAACTAGTGGCAGGTACAGCATTCTAACAAAACACAAAGCAAGAGAACAGCTCTTATAATGAGCATAATTATGTAATTAAACTGAGCTCCGCAAAAAAACTGAAACTAAAAAACTAAAAACTGTTGCCATATGCAGGCCACGTGTGTGCGAGCGAGAGCACAACAGTTGCACATGCGCGACTGTTGCGGATGCTGAATGTGTGCAAGCAATGTGCATGTGTGAGTGTATGTGTGTGCGCAGGCGAGTGTCAGCGAATCGCAGCTCGCTATAAATTCACACACACACACATATACATGCATGTGCACATTTCTTTTTAATTAAAAGCAGCCGCAACTATATTTTAGTCTAGTTACAGCTCACATTTGTGACGTCAGCAGACTTTTGCTGGGTTTTACCGTTACAAGGCCAACTAATTTGCATATAAATAGAAAGAAATAAACCAAACATATGCAAATTGCCAGCTACCCTTTCTATACAACAACAAAAAGTGCATCAATTGCATCAATTCAAAGGGATATTGATTGCTGAAGGTCGCTGGCCCGTCTTAAGGTCTAAACGCAATTTGCATAACTTGAGCGAAATGCCAAATAAATTGTCCCATTCCAATTTTATTTGCCTACCTCTGTTTCTGCTTCTTATACCTCCGCCTATTAAACGTTTTATGCGCTTAGCAGATTGGCATTTTATGGCTTGCATAATTAGTCAAATTCAAAAATTAACTGAAGCTAAGGCAAAAGACATGAAAAAAGGGTTTTCATTCGTTGACGCTAACCAGTAAGCCTAACCAGTTTCTGCTGCCAGCATGCACACACACACATGCGTATAACCTGCAGCCAGTTGAACAACTTTGGCCAGTTTAACAAAAAAAAAACTAAAAAAAAACGAAAAAAATGCAGCCGCCACACTTTTTATTTTTACACATACGCCAAAAAGAGCACAAACACACAAACACAAGCGCACACACACGCACACACACGTACACGCACAAGCACAATCACATGGACAGGTTACTCTCTTGGGTGCCAATGGCAGCAGCAGCAGCCGCCATATGCAAGCCTCACCCACACACACACACATATACAGCCAGCCAGCCACGCGGCGAGCGCAGCGCAAAAACGCACACAGCTGCAGACTGCAACGCCGACAGCGACAGCGTCGCGACGTCGACTGCGGCGCAATACAGTGAGCGAGACAGCAAGAGGGTTGTAGCCGAGCCGTAGCACAGTTTTGTGGCTTTTCCTTAGCGTGTTATATGTGTATGAGCAGGGGAAGTGCGTGCGTGTGAGAGGCATATTTCTGCTTGCCTCTGTGTGTGTGGAAATGTGCGCGCTGTCTCGCTCGGGAAATTTTGTTTTCAATGACTTGCTGCACACGAGCGCCGTGGCAGTTTTATTCAAGTTTGAGCGCTCGAATCTGCAACAACGTGCCACGCAAAATTCAACAAAAATAAAAAAAACACAAAAAAACGCAAAATTCGTACGTGTCGCAGTTTTTTGGGCACTCCAAACAAAATATAAAAAAAAACGAAATATTTTTAAATTAAAAATTAAAAATAGCAACAACAATTGGATAAACTGCAAACAGCATTTTGGGATTGTTTTAAGTGGCTTTGTGTGCGTGTGTGATTCGCTAAAATCAAAAAAAAAAAATTATCGCAATATTGTTGATTAACAAACTCGCAAAAAGGAAATTTCTTATTGCATGTGAAGAGCAGAAGAAACAACAAAGTAAAAGGAACTCAAATTGCATGGAAATAAAAACAAAAAGTTTCTAAACAATAATCATTGAAAAGTGCCATTTTGCAATTGAGCCTCGCTTCAATTGCCAATTGCAACCATTTTTGTGGTAAGATTTTAGTATTTAAGCAAAATTAAAATTAGTTTTCCAAAAATATTTGCTACTTAAAAAAATCAGCTTTACGCATAATTTCGCAACTAAAAGTTGTTTTTATTTTGGGGTACGTGTATAAAATATAAAACCACCAAAAGGCCATCGACAAAAAAAACAAAAAAAAACTGGAAAATCCAAAAACCGGTTTCCAAGTGCATTTCGTTTCAATGACGTTTGCTTATCAAATTGAACAAAATGGCGCCCACTGTTAAAGCGCTGTTGTTGAAAGCTCGCCAAAAAGCTGCGACGATCGGCAGCGTATAAGACTTTTCGTATAAGACGCCACAACGAGGCGTTGATGCGTTTCTCATTTACGAACGCATTTGTGCGCTGCTCTTCTACCTGCAGCGCGCCTATATTATCTGTCTCCCTCTCTCTCTCTCTATGAAATGGCAATTGCTAGGGATCGCTTGGCAGGTTGCTCGATTCTTACCGCATTATCCGCTTTGGCCCGGGTACAATGGGATACCGAACAATGGGCAACGTCTTGCGCATTTTCCGCACTTCAGTGTGGCATACAATGCCGGTTGATTGTTTTTCCATTGTCTGCCTGTCGACGTTTTAATGTTTTGTTCCTTTTCTGCCCTTTTTTTGCCATTATCCTGGCCAATTTTTTATAAACTGCGTCGCATTTGCGATCACCCGCAAGTGGAGCTGCTTCTGCTTTACCTGTTGTTCCACGAAACTCCAACGGCTCGTTTCGCCTATTGGCAACACATGGCAGTCGCACGCATGTCCAACATATGCCGCACATTCCGGTCATCCTGCGTCCAACATATGGCAAACACTTGGCAGCGCTTGGCCCATGCCAAAAACAAAGGCAACAAAACCCAATTCCTAACGACTTTCAAATTGAAATACGAGCAACCACTTCGCGGCTGCAATGCGCCTAGAAGAACGGGCAGCGGCACACACACACACGCGCACGCACACCCTCGCGCCTTGCTCTATGAAAAACAGGAAAAGAATATCAAGTATATATATACACGTATTTGTATATGAAATGAATGAAAACTCCGTAAAGCAAATTATTGCAAGTTTTTCATTTACGTTTTTTTGTTTTCATATGCGTGTGCGTTTGAGTGTGTGTGTGACGCTTTCCATTTTCCAGTAAAAAAAAAAACACAGAAAATATGTAAAGTAAAACGCGCGAAAAGCAGCCGGAAAAATACGCGCACACGTTTTTTCGTTTTTTTTTCGTTTTTCCGAGGGATGTTTGCATATTTTTCCCCCATTTCATTTTTTTTCTTCCTGTTATCCGCGTATTTTCTGTCACCCTCCCACTCCGGCAACCCGGCTTCCACCGCCGCCCCCTCCTCGAACGCCTTAATATTCTCTTCCCATCGTTTCCATTGGCAAAGGCGCTTTCACTTTTTTATGGCGCATAAAACTTGGCAGGGTGGCGTTTGGGCATAAATTTAAAAAAAAACCAAATTTATATATATAAAAAGCGAAGATTTTCCGCCAAAAAAACTCAACTTTTGCAATGAAATGGCTGAGGAAACTCGCAAGGTGAAGCGCGGACATGGCAGGTAGGCGTAATCAGCCCCAAATACACATTATTTTTGCACACCTGACAGCGAGGCAGCGCAAGCGGAAGCTGTCAGGTAGATCAGGTAGAGGCATCGTGACTTCATGCATTCCACATCCTCATCCACATCCACTTCCAGTGCCAATTTGTCAATTGGTTTAGTAGTCGCCTTAGAGGTCTATGTATTCTATAGGAATATGAATATCTTTAGCTATTTATCCCTTTGCTTAGACCATTTTCTAATTATATTAATTTTAAGCAATTTCATTAGTAGATGCATCTATCCCTATACTTATCCATATCCCTATCCACAACTGTCTACATACCCATATCTATATTCACATGCATAGACATTCTCATCCATGTTTCCATTCATATCCCAAACCACATCCATATTCTTATTCATATTCATATCCACAATCTTATCCATATTCTTATCCACAGCCATATTTCCATTCATATCCCTATCCACATCCATATTCTTATTTATATTCATATCCATATTCTTATCCACAGCCATATTTCCATTCATATCTCTATACACCTCCATATTCTTATTCATATTCATATCCATATCCGTATCCTTATCCTATATCTTTATCCACATCCATATTGTTATTTATAATTCATATTCATATCATAATTCATTCATATCCATACCCATTTCATTATCCACATGCCCAACCTTATCCACATCCATTTCTATTCACGTTCTTCATCCACATCTATTGCCATATTCTTGTTCAAGCATATCCTGTAATATACAAATTGATTTCGATTGCCAAGTTTTGTTTAAGATGGTATAAATCATGATATTGTAGTGCTACTATTGCTTTTCCATATCCATCGATATCTATGCGTAGTGCCATCTCTATTTACATTGCCAATTCCTGTGGATAATCCGCCTTGTGCTCCCACTGCCTGACCTAGTAACGGCCAGTCCGGGTGATAGGCAGTCAGGCAGTGCCGTGCACAGAGGCAGGGCAATGCTCACATCCGTGTCCAATGTCCAATGTGCCATGTCCAATATCCATTTCCATTCCCATTTTCATTGCCAATTTAATTTTTGTTCATATTTAGATTATAGTAACCCATGCGAAATTCGCTTCAGGTTTTCTTTTTGGCATTTCCAAATATCTGTGCAAATTATTGAGGGGGCATTGGGGAGTCCTTGATCCGGACTTGACTAGTCAGCATATACTAATTGCCTCTCTCTCTTTCTATTTCTGTCTTTTTATGTTTGTGTGTAAACAAACAGACAACTGGTGATTCGTAAGCCTTAAGCTGGCGCTCAAGGTGAGGAAGCATCTTGCCTCATACTCGCCCACACTGCTGAGCGCCGCGTTCACCAGCTTGAACAGCGCCTATCACAGCAGCAGTGACACCGCCCCGGACGAGGAGCCGGAACCACTTAGCCCAGCGCACCGCCAACGACATCGCAGACACAGTCACAGCCACAGTCACGGACATAGTCACAGTCACAGTCACGGACACAGTCAGAGTCACAATCACAGTCACAGCCACAGAGAGAGCCACAGTCAGAGCCACAGCGGCGAGATGGGTGGGCCGACGCCCGTGGCCAGCAGCGAGGGTCAAACGTACTGTTTGCGCTGGAACAATCATCAAACGAATCTGGTCCAGATCCTGCACGCTCTGCACGAGGTGGGCAGCTATGTGGACTGCACCCTGGTCGTCGACGACGAGCAATTCAAGGCGCATCGCGTTGTCCTCGCGGCCAACTCGCCCTACTTTCAGGCCATATTGCAGGACGTGCCGCAGGATCAGTGCAGCATCATACTGCCGGGCGTTAAGGGCTTCGAGATCGCTGCCCTGCTGCAGTACATGTACACAGGTGAGACAACGGTGACCAAGAGCCAGGAGCCAGAGATCCTGCGCACTGCCAAGGAGCTGCAGGTGAAGGGCCTCTACGACAATTTGATGAAGTTCAATCACAAGGCGACGAGCGTGTCTGACGAGCGTACGCAGAGCTCACAATTCCAGGGCAGCACAGGTGCTCCACATCACCAACACCATCAGCAGCAACAGCAACACCACCACCATCACCACCACAATCAGCAGCAGCAGCAGCCACAGCACTCTGCGCCCACCTCCAGCTCCTCCGCCGCATCGGGTAAGCCACTGAATGGATCTGGCTCCACAGCTGGCACTGAGGGCAACTATGGCCAGCATCAGCCCCATCACAGCCAGCTGAATTCCTCCTCCGTGATCTCAACATCCACACACATATCGCCCAGTGCCGCCATCTCGAGCAGCTGCTCGCCACCACCGCCGCCCTTCGGCAGCTATCAGACGCCTTACACGAGCTTCTCGGCCAGCAGCGGTTCCATCAATCCAATCATCGCCGCTGGCGAGGCACCACTGACACCCACACACTCCAGCTCCCATCCAGCGGCTGGCGAGGCTGGGCAATGGCCGCTCTCACCCTCAGCCGCAGCAGCTGCGATGCTCAATTCGGTATACGAATCGGCGGCCGATATGAATCCGCTGAAGCGCAAGAAGCTGTCGGCCATCTCGAGCATGCTGCTCAATACGACACGGGACACGCCGATACTGCGCAATGTCTTGGCACAGGCCAACCCAGCTGACTCCTCACAGCCGAATCCGCTCCTGCTGCCAGGCGTTAAGCAGTCAGCAGAGAAGACGACGCCCACGCATCACCATGGCTCGAGTGCATCCGGCGGCGCCGGCAGTCACAGCTTCAATGGCTCCGACTATGGCGGCGATAAGGAGCCACTGTCGCCGCACACGGATCGCTCCTTCGACGAGGAAACCGGCGGCCAGGCGGGCAAGAAGCCAGAATGGAAGCGCTACAAGCAATACACCCGAGCGGACATGATGTGCGCCATACAGTGTGTGCGCGAGGGCATGAGCGCCCTGCAGGCCAGCCGCAAGTTCGGTCTGCCCAGCCGCACGCTGTACGACAAGGTGCGCAAGCTGAACATCACAACTGGTCGCGGCACACATCGCACACCCAAGCGCAGTCCACCTGGTGTCGAGTCCTCGGCCGCCTTTCCCTACTCGGCTGCAGCGGCAGCGGCAGCGGCTGCCCACAACTATGGACAAACGGAGCTGGAGCGTGAGCCGAAGGAGCACGGACATGGTCATGGCCATGGTCATGGCCATGGTCACGGCCACGGTCAGGCCCCGCACCACGGCATGCCGCCCACAATTCCGCACTCGGCTGCTGCGCTCCTGGATCACGCCTTTCTGCAGCAGGCACTGGAGAATCGTGGCGGGGATATAGCCGGTCGAGAGGCATTGCATGCCATGGCCTTGGCGGCCGCTGCTCATGCAGCTGCCAATCGCATGTCCAGCAGTCCGCCCGGCTCGAACGGACATGCCGCACGCTCGCCTAGCCATTACGCCGAGGAGGAGAAGCACGACGAGCAGCGTCTGATAAAGCGCGAGGCCATTGAGGAGGAGCGCGATGCCGACGATGAGGATGATCACGATCAGGTGGAGGACCTGTCGCTGGCACGCAAAGAGCGGCCCGAATCGCCCTACTCGCCTGGCCCGGCACGCGCCGCCTCGCCCATGGAGAGCGCCAGCGTCATCATGCACTCCAATTCGGCTTCGCTGTCCACAAACGGCAAAGATGCGCCCGAGCTGGAGGCGGAGCGCGATCGTGACCAGGAGCTGGAAGAGTACAGCGAAGCCGCATCGCCAGCATCGCAATCGATGAGCCTGCCCCTGGGCCTGGGTCTCAAGCGTGAGCTGCTGGGCAGCGACGAGGCGCAGGCGCGCACCGACTGATTGATGCTGACGATGGCCTGGCAGTATGCAGCCGATAGCCACGATTCCATATACTAGGCCACCCACACCCACACACACACACACACACACACATTTAGACGCTTGTGTATTAGCAAGCTTTCTTCTTCTTCATGTAAGACGCGCGCACATTTCATTTCTGGTTTCGACGTACAACGTGCAAAACTTATTTTTGTTGTGTTCTCAACTTCATCGACAAGCCTCGGCGTCGATCTAGCGGTAGTGAAGCTTTAAACATCTAAAATTTCCCAGCAAAAAAAAAAAAACAATAACTCACCCAATCAATCAATCAATCAATGCACCTTTAGAATGAGAGAAAGCAAAAGAAAAACAAAAAAGAAAATGGGAAAACGAAAAATCAAACACGAATAAAAAAAAAAACTATAAATTGTTGTCAGCATCACTTTGTGCCTAAAAGAAATAGAATTATTCAAATAAATATTATATATACATATAGACACATAGTTTAGATTAGGCTTAGGCTAGACTTAGGAAGCACCCACACACCCATACAAGCACACACACACACACATTGCTTATGTCAACAAAAAACTGTACACTTGCATAAGACTGAAGGATAGTGGGCGTGGCAGAGCAGAAGAGGCTCAAAACACATACATATATATATATAGAAATACGATCGCATTTGAGAGCATGAATCCAGATGAGTTTTTAACAACAAACAAACAAAACGAGTTAGCAATACTTTGTACAACTATCTTAAAATGCCAGTGATTTGTTTTAAAAATTATTTAGCTGCTTATAGTTATAGTTGTAAAGGCTTAAAAATAGATTTCGAAACTTGTAACCGAACTACCTCAAATAGCTCAACAACAACAACATAATAATAATAGTTATTTTAATATTTTTTCGATTTTTTTTGAGTGCAAAAAAGTTTCCTGGGTTGAATTTTATAAGACTGACACCGACTCACACCCACACACACACACACGCACACACACACAATCGTTTATACAAATTTAAAGCGTACAAAAAAATTATTAATTAAGCTTAATTCAATTGTAATTCATAATCATTTTTAGTTGTTAATGAAAAACAAAAAACAGAAAATGATGCAAAAATCAAACAAACATGCGCTGGGGGCAATGCAATAGGCTCTATATAAGTATAAACATAAATGCATATATATACATATGGAAATACCTTGGACGTATACCTGCATATATATATGTATATATAGACATAGTTCTATTTAGCGTTAATTCATTTGTTATACAATTGTAGGCTAAGCTAGTTACTCTTAAGTTTAACAACAACCACAACAATCCCTGTGTACATAAGATAATTAAAGAAAAGTTTTAAAAGTATTTTGCCGTTATTAAACATTTAGTGTTAATTATAAACAAGTTCTTAAATAATTGTAACAGAAATCAAATCTAAATTGTAATTTAGGCAAAAGCAAAAAAACATTTTCGGTATATAATGAGCAAAAAATAAAAATGACTGAAAATATATATAAACATATATATATATATATATATAATAAATAAACATTATGTGTTTTTATATAGTTCATATGAGATCGGTTTTAACAATGGTAAGCTCATATATTTATTACAACATTTACAATTGGTATATAAAAATATATATATGTATATATATATATATATGTATTGGTGTATTTGTGTACTAAATCTATTCAGGAGACACGATCAGACTTTTGCTAGCATAGCAATAAAATGAAACTAAACCAAAAGCTGTACACTGGACATACACTCAACACAAGGTAGACGCCTAGACGAGCCTGGTCCACCACATACAAAGATAGAGAGTACAGAATTAAAATGAGAACGAATACAAACTATACACAGGATATTATAAAAAAGTTGAGGTCTAGTCAAGAACACACACATATATACAAAGATCTAAGTACATTACTACAGGCAGCTTTATCAAATACACATGGACTCGAATCGGACAACTGTAAGTGCTCTACAGGCAGCCCACGCAGTTGGGCGGATTGCGGTTATCGAACTCGCAGATGCCAATGGCAAAACGAAAGGGTTTGTGATGAGGCAAATGCATGGGTCGATTGGATATCCATGGCATGTGTGGTATGTTTAGCACACGCACCGTATAATGCTGCAACTTGACTGGCTCTTTGGCTACCGGATTGCTAATGGACAGCTCGTGCTCGATGTGTATCAATGGTGGCTCATCGTTGGGACTGTGACGTTCATGCTCGCAGTGGGCCAACAGTTTGGCCTCACTCAGAAACTCCAAGCGGCAATAGTTGCAGTAATAATTGATGCCTTTGCTATGCAGCACCTGATGACGATCCAACTGATGCTGGAACTCAAACTCATCATGACACTTGTGGCAGATATAAACGCCGCGATTCTGGCGATGCAAGTGATAGTCCAAGAAGACCCTAAAAGGTAACACAGCGTGAATGTTATACATATGTATATATAGTGTGTCTAGTTTCATTCGCTCACTTGCTGGTGAAGACGTCGCCGCATTTGTGGCAATAGAACCAGCTCATCTTCCAGTGCTGCATGTAGTCGTGCTTCATTAGATCCACTAGGGTGTCCGTTTGATAGCAGCAGTTGGGCACGAAGCACGAGAAGGCTTTCAGCTGCACCTGAGTCTTCAGCAGATCCAGCAAGTAGAGATCATACTCCTTATCTGTAGTAATTTGAGACTCCTCTAGCACGTAATCATCATAGAGCATGGATAGATTAAGTGCGCTATTGCTATTGCTGCGACTGTGATTCACGATCCAATCGCCGGTAAAATTCATACGCCTTGTGTACATCGTGTCCGCCACCGAGGTGGCATCATCATTCTCCTGCTGATCCTCTTCGGCCTGTTCTTCATCATCCTCATACCAGGCTAACGAGCAGGCACGCGAACGCGAACGTGTAGATCGTGCCTGGGTGGCAGACTCTTGCATTAGCAAAGCCTGTGGAAGTAAGGGAAGCATTAGCAATTGAGTACAGTGAAATCTACCTTCAGCTCACAGCTGCATTCGATGTTTAGTAAAGAATTTAGTTACTTGCCTCCTGCTTTGCACTGCATATCGTATGATGGAGCTCCCATTCGTACTTTGTGCCAAAGTCCGCTTCGCACAGGCTGCAGCGGTGTCTGCATTGATGTGTGAGGCGCTGATGCTGCCGTAGCGCAACAACGCCAGCAAATTCCTTGTCACAGTTTTTGCATTGAAAGGTACGCGAGTGTCGTGGCGTCTGCTGCCGCAGTTGTTCCCCATTTTCAATGTCTCCCACGTCCACATTGTCATCCTCATCATCATCCTTGCCTGCCTCATTGAGCACTCTGCATTTGGGTCGACGCTGTGTTTGCTGACGCCAACAGCGACGCACGTGCACTGTATAATGATCCTTCCGAAAGTAGGCACGCTCACAGTGCTGGCAAACGAGTCGAGTGCGCCATTTCCAGCCGTCCAAAGCGTTGCCGCTGTTGTTGCGCAGACCACCCGATTCGGTGGCAGTGGGAGATTCTGGTGGCTGAGCTGAGTAGGCCTGCAGCACCAGGCATGATGATGAACTGGATGTTGACGATGCCGTTCGAACTGTGCCAACATCTTCCTGTGGCAATGGCACTCCAGTTGTCGACACCTCAGCATCCGCTATTGGGGGACTGCACTGTCGTCGCTCAGGCTGCTTGCTTGTGCCCGTTATGCGCTGCAAGCGTTGCATCAGGGTCCGGGTTACCTCAGAGTGCATATTTAGCTTGCACACGCATTCTACGCATATGGCTCTCAGCGTACTCTTGATGATATCTGCCTGAAATATTATAATTATTAGATTGAAAATTGTAACTGTGAACTGTACCCGCTTACCGATAGCTTCCAGTCGCGACTGAGACGCCGCTGCATTACGCTGTTGTCCCTCAGATCTAACAAAGAAGAAGACGAGGATTTGCTGCTGCCGCAAATGGTGCACGCTCCGGCATCTCCCTCTGAATTACCCAATTCCGTTATTGCATTTTTCAGCTTGCTGATGATGTTGCTGCTGCTTGACGCGGGCTCCGGAGCATCCTGCATGTTGCAGTGGGTACTGTGTAGTTGAAAATATGTTTTTCTTCGCAATAATCTACATGTGTGGAGTCTTATAGCTACGCTGGGTAAGCAGAGTTGTCGATTAATCCACTCATATGTTGCTATGCATTTTATTTAACTATTTTAAGCACTGTACTGACACGAACGTTTTTGTTTAGCTGCTCATATATTTAATAGTTTATGCCACCCTCTCGCACAGAGCTGTAGCTGCAATTAATTTGCGTGTTCTAAGTTAATTGTCTTATCGGCAATACTTTGAGCTGGCTTTTCCCGTTTTCCAACACTACACATTAATGATATACGATAGTTTCATAACAGCCCTGTTTCAAGCATAGCTTGATGTAAAAGTGTAAACAATCTTTATAAAACTATTTAAATGCGCTTTGAATGGATCTTTTTTCGGCGGCTAACGTTTATTTACGCCAGGTGGGCGAGACGCGTCCACGTATTTCCGAATTGAATTGCAACATATTCACAGAAGGCGGACCAGATCCCAAATCACTTGTCGAAATATCTGGCAAAAGAAAAAGCGGGAAAACTTTTCTACTAATGCAAATTATTGCAAATTGTCTTACGAACTGTGATGTTATATTAATAAATATTAACCATAAAATTGAATATCAAGTATTAGGAAGACTCGTGCAGGACGCTGTTAAGAAAGCCAATCCAGATGCAATAGACGTTCAATTGCAAAAGATTTGTGAAAAGTGCTTTAATTCGTTGGAAATTATAAACTGTTTTTCATCTCTAGATATTCGAATGGCTTTAAAAGCATTGGATAATCACATTTTGCTTCATAATGAGAGAATAAGTCTAGTTGCAATAAATGGACTTTGCGAATTTTATTGGTTTGATTTGCCACAAAATGTACGCATTCGTAAATACAAATACTATATGAATATTTTAGAAGAAATAAACAAAATATGCAAGAGATTTTATGTTTGCTGCATTTACACAATTGACAGCAGTTTTATACAAAACCCATATGCGCCATGTAGAGCGATAAACATAGATCACAAATTGCAATTGGAATACTTAACGAATGGCAAGCGTATGTTGAATGACAAAGAAATTGTCATCAATGAGAACGGAATTCAGTTTAAGTAGATATATATAAAAAATTGAAAACACATTCTCGCGCCTATTTATTTTTATTAACCATAGATAGCTACATCGATATAAGCTATCGATATTAAGCGATACACTGAAATTTAAGGTAATCGACATTTTTCACTATTGGTGCCATCTCCGGATTTTCTGTTCGACGCGACGAGAAAACGTGCTAGTTTTTTTTCTAACAGGCCGCTTCTAAATAAAGAAAAAATACGTAAAATGGGTGTACAAGTTGTTCCAATTTCTCCCGGAGATGGTAAGTAAAAAAGAAATACTGTTTAAGTTTTGATTGTATTATTGAGCTTAACCTATAATTTGCGGCACTTTGACAGAAAAGTATTTTTCCGCTCTCTATACACATACACATTTTTATACACCATGTATATGTATCTCACTCTCCCTCTCTCTCTCTCTCTTATTGCAGGTAGCACCTTCCCAAAGAATGGCCAAAAAGTTTCAGTGCATTACACTGGCACATTGGACGATGGCACAAAGGTAAGTGAATAGATAACAGTTGGAAATATATTTGTGTTCATATTTTGCCCACAAATTTTAGTTCGATTCGTCTCGGGACCGTAACAAGCCCTTTAAGTTCACCATTGGCAAGGGTGAGGTTATTCGCGGTTGGGATGAGGGCGTTGCTCAGCTGAGCGTTGGCCAACGGGCCAAGTTGATTTGCTCTCCCGACTACGCCTACGGCAGCCGTGGTCATCCAGGTGTCATTCCTCCCAACTCTACCTTGACTTTCGACGTCGAACTGCTCAAGGTCGAATAAAGTGTTCGAATGCAGCAAACAGCCGAAGACCTTTTGTGCATGCGTGTGTATATGTGTAAGCACTGTTATACACACACACTCATGCACATCTTCAACAACCTGGCGCGCGCTCCGGCAGTGGCAACAGAACCAAACAAGAACAATCCAACAGCATTTTAATTATATTCAAAAGAAAAAAATGAATGAAAGATGAAATTAGACTTAATTACCAAGCACACAGATTATTGAAAAAGGCAAACGCAATTACAAATAAAGATTTATTCAAGTGAAATTTATTAAAATCGTATTTTCATTTTCATTCACGCTTGCACACAGCATCCATTATCTGGTCAATTATCTCGTAGCGTTCGCGCTCATATTTCTGCGCATGCTTCAACCAGTGACTGCGCACCCGCTTCCAATGGCTCACATTCTCCGCCAGCAGCTCCTCTTTGCTGGCACCATTCAGCCTCTCATCCTGGGTGTTCGGTAGGCGGGGTGGAATGAGCGACATCTCAGTTTTGCGCGCCTGTGGCATTTGCTTCACAACTTTCAATTCGCCGCTAAGCAATTTGCTGAGCACTTCCTCGGCATCGTCTTCACGTTTTACAATGGGTACTGTGCCGTCTGTATTGTAGACCGATACGCTTGGATTGCGTGGCTGGTTGGCCATCCACGCACGGCAAATAGGATAGAGCGGTGTTTTATCTTTATACTTGGACAAATCTAGGCTGCGTTCGAACAAACGCATTACATAGGTTTCGCTATGTGACTTTTGGGCTGCATGATTGCCGCTCTTTTTGTAAAGCGAGCGTTTTGCTTTAGATCTTCCTGAACCAGTTGCAGTTGCAGGTGTTGTTACTGTTTCAGCCTCGATTTCTGCTTCTGCTGCGGACTCGGACTTCACCTCGGATTGCTGTTTTGCATTGGATTGGGCCCGTTGTTGTTGCTTTTGCAGCAGCACCAGCTTTTTGGAGGGCCGTCCACGTATGGGCAACTCGGATTCCATGTCGTCGTCCATTTGCAACATCGGGAGTGGTGCTTCGGATTCATCCTTTGCAATCTCTTTGCGGGATTCCCGCGGGCGCAGTGTTCCCTCTACAGCTGTAGCCCGAGATTTCTTCGGAGTCACTTTCATGATGTTGATTCTATACTAATTGTTCTTTTCAATTCTTCAAATCAAATTTTCAAATGAAAACACAGTGAATGGCAACTTGTTAGTGATGGACGCCAATGCCGATAACACTTTAATCGACCGTATCAACGATTTTGAATTTAACAACTTTGCACTGTCACTGATATGATATTGCAAGCATTTAGCCAATTTTGAGTCTAAAATTCTAAAACGCATGAACAATTTTCACACGCCTAGGTAAAATATATGAATATACTTCACAAAAATAATAATAATAGATCTTTAAACAAATACTATAGAAACAACCCCCGTTACTGGTCAAGGGTTCAGTATGTTTCCACTGTTAAAAGGCTTTTAGTTTATGCTTAAATAAACATTATTTTTTAAATTTTGCTTAATAAAAGCAAAAAGGAAATTTTAATTGTACAGTTCTACCGAAAAATATGCTAGCCGCCTCATAACCAATTATATCTTAGTCGTAAGCAGCTGTTCAATGTTGTGCTGTTAACTATTACAGTGCTGTAAATAATAACATTTCGAAAACAATTTTATTATTATGGATGTTATTGTTTCTCGTTTCTCATCTAGCCAAGCACGAGTGATTGCGAGTTGCCTGAGGTTCACGAGAGGGAACGGTTTGTGCGTGTGGAGTGCGCAAAGCTCTTGTGTTAAAAGAAAACTGAAACTTAAATAGAAACAAAAAACTATATTGCAAATAAATGTCTTAAAAACTGTGGAAAGCGTTCAAATTGTTAGTAAATTTGCATAAAGTGAAGTGATAATCCTTAACGAGTTACATAAAGAAAAACAAAGTAAAACTGTAACTCCACATTTACAGTAAGTGCAGCATTGCATTCGTTTTTCGCTTTTTTTATCAGTTCAGCAGTTATTTGTATATGCATTTGTATGTGTGTTCAGTAGTTGCATTTTGCGTCTTTCACTCTTGTTTTGTTTGGTGCGCGAGAGAGTACAATTGCTCTCAGCCACCACGAACTCATGTACACAGACAAGGGTATGGTCTTCGTTTATTACTGCGTCGTTGTTTTCGTATTCTCCAATTCTCCCCCACATGTTCCCAAATTTACTTTTCTTTGCTATTTATAGGGGCGATTTACTGTTACAATGGTAATAACAGCATCGCCACAGATAGCTATTGGCATGAACGTGTGTGAGTGCAACATAAAGAATGAAAGAGAGAGTGAGCGGGAGAGCGGATTGTTGGCAGTGGGATGTGGACGGTGCGCATTTGTTGACAAACGTTGATATATTTCCAACTCGCGTATATTTTGAAATGTCTTAAAGAGTATATGAACGTATATGTATATACATACATGCATATGGGTATATAAACCCTCGCGCTATCAGTGCCGCACAACAGTAAATTTTAGGTAGACTTAACGCACCAGCCGCAACCGCAGACGCAGCAGCAACAGTGAATTGCCAATCAGGTTCGTCTGGCCGATCCACAGCCGAACAGCTGGTCATATCGCGTTGTCTTGCAAGTTCGCTGAACCTCTACACTCTATATATATATATATATATATATGTATATATGTATGTACAAATTAAACTATTTATCAAACCATATACAACGTATGTTTATTAATAAATATGTGTGCTCATTTTTATTTACTTACCCAAGTATATAAACATACTTTTATACACTATTTGGAGAGCGCAGCCAAGTGTTGGCGATGGTGTAGCCGTCTAAACGTTTTGATTCTAATTTGGAAACGCTGAACAGCGCGAGTTCGATTCCGCTCCGCTCCGCCCGATCTTGTTGGCTTCTTTGACGATAATTCACGTTATTTAGCCGTAACTAATCGGGCAACAGTAAATTTTTTTATGCAAATATTTTTTGTAAGGGTATTTAATGCTCGTTTATATTATATATATTTTTTTTTATTGAATTGCATATAATCCAATGAATGGAACGATTGCAATAAGCTAGCTATCTGATATCATCAGCGTTTAAAATTAACAACAGAGCTAACGCTCTCTCTTTGTGTGTCTCTCTTCACCACTCTCTCTTTACAATCTAAGTCGCTGCCACTCTGTTGCTCTCCGTGTTTAGTGACGTAATTTTCAGGCGTTGCAATCGAATTTCTTGTTTTTGTCTTATAAGAAATGTGTGCTCAAACTGGTTTTGAGAGCTCCAACTGCGTCGCACCAAAACAAACTTGGAAGCTAAATGTATGTGTGTGTTTATGTGTGTATAACAACAAATAAATGGTGTATGGATGAGTGCGTAATTTCCGATATGGAGTATACAAGCCTATGGAAACATGTAAACAAAGCAAAAAAATCAAAGCTTTTTTATTATAAGTATTATTATGGCAACGGCCTTGACACGGTTACAACATCCAGCACCAACAACATTCAGTTTATGGGCCAAACAGTAGAAGGGGGAAGAAAAACATAAACAATTTCTTTGGCATATGTATTTGTGTGCTTGCAGAGTTAGACTCAATAGGAGATATCGTTCAACGTTCAACGGGCCACCTCTTAGAAGGCTGCACGCGGGTGACATCATCTGTTGGTTGGAAAGGTAGAGAAGTAGAGTGAAGTGAAGTGACCGATTAGATGCACAACCTGCACTGAAGCTTTATGAAATAATATACCTAATGAATGGTCACCCACTACTTTTGACCTATTAGTGTGATCCGTTGTGGGCGGTGGCAAAAACTGGGTCAGCTTTGTGTACATATAAACTAGAGGCACACGCAACCTGGTAAAATAACACAAAACTCCAATGTTTAAGTATTACATGAATTAGCGAGGTGCGCGTAGCACGAGCTACATTTACACGTTGAAAAACTGTCACGGCACGCACGACATTCTAATCATATTCATTGTAGGTCTCAGATATTCGTCTGGAAGAGAGAAATAAGTTCTTAAGATATAGCGATATAAGGATTTTGTAATTCTGCAAGAATTTGAAATTTAATATTGGTTTATTAAAAAATAATATTGTTTTAATTTTTTTTTATTTTTTTTGTTTCATAAATTTTTGTGTTGAGATGATGCTGAGAACTAAAGTCGTTCAATTTACATGATACTTGTGTTCCTTTTAGGATTCTTGAGAGGGCTCCTGTTTGGAGAGAGTCTCAGAATCATGGGCCAAATCGTTGTATCCATGCAAAGTAATATTGGGGAGGTGTTCAGCGGTCGGCGCAAGCGGAGACGTAGCACAGACTCGACTGCATCACAGGAGGAGCGAGATCGAGCCCAACTGGAGGCCAAATCTCCAAAAAAGTGAGTGGAGAAAGTTGAAGAGGATTCGTTCAATTAATCAACAATTTGATTTGCAGAAAAAAACTATTGACAACCACACAGTATATATACAAAGCTCTGTTCAAGGAGCAGAAGAACTCGGATGTGGCCGTGATGGCACTGGACAAAGTGTGGCACCTTCATAAGGTTTACCTTAGTCAGAGCCCCTACTTTTATAGTATGTTTAATGGGTCGTGGAAGGAGGCACAACAGAATTTTGTGAATATTAAAATACTCGACGATCGGATCACTGCGGATAGCTTGGATGCTGTTTTTGGCTCTATGTACTCTGATGAAATAGAGATTGAACCAAAAGATGTGATACCCGTACTGGCGACTGCGACACTCTTCCATTTGGACGGCATCATTGACAAGTGCGCCGAGGTGATGGTGGACAGCATCGATGCTGAAACTGCGATACAATACTATGAGGCTGCCTGCCAGTACGGTGTACTGAGCGTCAAGAAGTCCACGTTCCAGTGGTTCCAGATCAATTTACTTAGCATTTATAACAAACATCCCAACCTGTTGCGGCATATCTCCATCGATTTGATGACTTTGCTCACAGCTAGCCACGATTTGTATGTGATGCAAACGGAATTCTCGCTGTATACGCTGCTGCGCACTTGGATGTTCTTGCAACTGCATCCACACTATGATCCCGATGATCCTGTGCAACGCGCCGAGGCACAAAAGACTCAAGAGAGACTGGTAAATGCCGGCGTAGAGACTCATACGCCCAGCGTGGATGTGGTCCAGTGGACGTACTTCGCCAGCCGCATGGAGGAGCGTTCATTTTTGGCCACGCCCGAGGGCCAGCCATATGTGCCCGTTTTCCAAAAGCTGCGCACCCAGTACCTGACCAATCATTACATGGACTTGAAGATCATTTTCAACGACAATATCATTCCCAAGGAGTGGCTTTTCAAGCACATACACAGCCATTGGGATGCACTGCTACGCATCGATCACGGCCAAGAGGATGCGTAAGTGCAAATTAATTAATTAATTAATTATTTATTATAGTTGAAAATATTTGCTTAAACAGAAGTCCGCAGCAGCTGGACAATGAGGAGTTCTTTGAGAATTGCATGCGCTGTGGCCGTTTGCTGCTGGAGCCCGGATATCAAAAGTGGCGCTGGACGGGCTTTAACTACGGAATGGATCTCATACTCATTATGGACTCACGTCGTCTAAATATACGCCGCCACCACCGACATGAGCACGAGCGGGTGCTCAGCTTGCAGACGAAGCGAAAGTTCATGATACGCACCACAGTTACATCAATTAATGCACAGCGACAGGCGGTGTTCACACAGACGTCGGAGATCACAACGTTGAGCCTAGAAAAGAATGAGGAGGTGTCGCTGATGGTGCTTGACCCCAAGCTAGTGCATCCGCTACTTATCTCTATTAACATGCTGGTCGTGATGCCGCCCAATCAAAGCTTCAAGGAGATTGTGCCACAGAGCGAGGAATCGACGTTGTCGGCTGCTGCGATACCCATTTCGGAAATTGGCGCCAGCTGTGAACGATCCTTGACCCCAGCCAGCGCCGATGACTCAGCTGTTTGTGTGAGTAGCGATTCGGCGACATCGACATCATCGTCGCCGTCTCTGGGACTGCGACCAGCTGGACGCTTTAGCTGGCAGAGAGGTAGTACCGCCTTGACAAGCGATGGCGAGGCGCTGTGTCGCGACGTGGCGTGCTGAGCGCGTTGCACAAACCACCCAAACCACCTATCTATGCATCAAACTACGTCCTACATATTCCCATTAGGCACAAACCACCTCGTTCTGTTCAAGGACTCGCCACTCGAGCCTCGTTTAATATATAGTTGTATATTCGTTCTCCGTTGGCTACGACTAGCGTCCGCTGTATATATATATTCATATCGCTATATATATACACTATAGATATATAGTTAAACCTTCTACTAACTGTACTCCATATAATTGTACATAATGTTTTAGAGCGCTCTAATGCGCCCGACTTTATATATTTGTAAAATCGTTTACATTACATCCTAGCAATTAATGCATAACTATTTTGTAACCAGAACCAGTTAAGTTTATATTGGCACAATTTTTTGTGCGTTCGGCACAATAGTGTTTAGAAACCAATATATATTTAGAAAATAATATATGTAAAGAATATATAGAACTTACGTATCTAAAACTCAGATCCTAAGCGCGAAAGTTAAGCTAACAATGCGGCAATCGAATTATAAATCGAATTCGAATTACAATTGCTAACGTCATTAAAAGCTCTTAACGTCTTAAGTCCATTGCATTTTAATTAACCCTCACTAAATTATTATTAAATATGTGAACTTTTTAAAACAACAAGAGTCTTCTATTTTTATCAAAGATTTTGTGATATGCAAATCAAAGGATTTACAGCGATTTGATCGATCGATCAATCTTTTGGATTGAAAATTTCAACAATTCGAAAGTTTCATGAAATCCATTTACATTTCCTTTGTTATATTATATATTTATTTGTAACAAACATTATTAGCGTATTGTAATAACAGAACTTTAATTTAAATTGACCCGGTCAAACAAAATATCTATATCCCTGCCCGTGTAATATACAAACAAACAATTTCGCTATGTGCTATAAATACCATACCATATTTCGTATCCATGTTCCATGACCAGGTTACTGGAAGTATTCTATATATTTTAATATATATATATATACTCTTTGTTTAGTAGTAGAACAGCTCTGGAAATTTCGTCTCATAGACGGGCTTCTCGCTGTTGGTTTGAGCTGTTTTGTTATCGCTTTGCGTTATCTGACGTTCCACGGCCAGTGAGTTGAAGAGCTCGTTTAGACGGTTTTGAATAAGATCATGCTGGAATTGAATAAGAGAACATTAGCCAAACATTTATGAAAAAGCTAGGGAGTTTACCTTCGGTTCAGTGCGTCGTATTAAATCGTCGAATTCACCTTCACGGAAGGTGCGTACAATTTGCATTTGTCGTTCGCGTTGCTCTCGCTTTGCCGCCTCTGTTGGTTCGGCTAAAGCTCGTTTCATTGCATCGAAGTTGTATTCGGGCGATAGCGATTTCTTGCAGACACCTGGCGAGCTATTCACGCTGTCCACATCTCCGTTGTAGAGTGTTAAGTCAGCGGAGCTATTACGCTGCGTCATGTGCGTGCTAACCGATTCCACCCAGGAGTGACGATGTCCTGGATTATCAGCCTGGTTGAGTGTATAGGGCGCTCCAGTATTGAGGCGCTGTGCGTCCATGCCTGCATTTTGCAAGTATTCACCCAGTGCTAATTTATCGATGGACAGATGAGGCAGCGATAAGTTTAGATTCTTTGAGACCACCTTCTTCGGCTCCAATAGTGGGGGCAGATAGTATATAGCCTCTTCGCGTCGCGCCTCAATAATCTTTTGTGCATATTCCAACAGGTTGTTGATGCCGCTGACACGCGAGATGAGCACCAGCAGCGCAATGGAAATGGAGTGTAAATTGCATCTGTGCACCGCGCCCAGGGTCTCCACAGTGCAAGCCATTTGCTGAATTCTACAGGCATTGGAAAAAGAGACTTATAGAAATTACAATTTCATTTTGTATTGGCATCTCTCTTACCCCAATATGAACAGCAAGAACTCCTGAACTGTTTCACTGCAGGACATTTCTACAATGAGAAGCGCTGCTGTATTATAACTAGCAGTTAGGGAATCAACGCGATCGGATAGTGCCATGCTATCGATCAGCGCCTGCATAATATTCGCGCCATATTTATGCGTGAATATGATGTCAGACCGTGAGGGCGGCTCCTGTGATAGTGCAGGATACGGCTTCACGCTCACGTTGCTGAGCACCTTCTCATTTTGATGGCGATCGAGCAGCGCCTGGAAGATCTGCATCACAATCATGCGCGTTGGGTCGTGTGGTGCGCGCGCCATTCGCAGCAGCGGTTGTAGGAACGAGGCAGGAAAAGCTTTCTCGAAGGATACTGTGCTATACTGGTTGCCCACTTTGAGTAGGGACTTGAGTAATATGTTCTGCAACATTTGATCGCTTTTGCTATTCTTGGATAGATCGGGCACCGTGTTCATGATGAACAACATGATCTCGATCTTCTGATAGTCCGGATGATGATTGGCGAACTCGCCGAGCGCATTGATAAGCGCCTCCTGGTATTGCGACTCCTCCGGTGTTATTTCAGTGGTTGTGCTTACGCTTGTACGCAAGTGGGTCAACAGATTGTTAATAATATCCAGTGCAGACGGCCCCACGCTCTCGCCGGCCGCAATGGCAATGATCTTCGACAGCACCACCGCCAGGGAGGTGCGTGTTTTGGGCGATGACTTGAAATTGCTATCCAAATGCTGCATGAGTGTCTCCACCACGGTGTAGGAATATTGTGGTTGTATGGAAATCATAACAATACGGAATGTGTGTATAGCAAACGTGTTGGGCACCCACAGTTCATGCCGATCCAAATGGCTGTATTGGAGTAGCCAATAAGGTTAAATAACTGATTGAGCACAACTCGCTTGGCTACTTACGTCAACAGCGGCTTCAGTACGCTACGTATGTGTCCAAAGGACGCACGACCCACTAGCTCGCGCAGCACTTCCTCTGCCAGCACAGGTGGCGTCACATTGGTGGCATCCTCAACAGGTGTTAGATCGCCCGACTAGGTGAATAAGAGCAGTTATTGGTAACAAAATCTTTGAACTCGATGGAGCGGGGTAAGGTAAGTGCTGCTATGTGGATTTATGCTAAACATATATAACAACACATATAATATATACAGTGAAATCTCTACTAACTGAATGTTGCCTTGTCTGGACTTTAGAGATTGTTCGTGTATCCCTTAGCAGACGGAGCTTCAATTCGTTAGTTGAAGTAACTCTAACTATATATTTATAAGACTTAGGGCTAGACATTATTATACTTATGGAGAGAGTTTGATTAATTATATTTGGAATTAATTCAAATTACCGCCAGTAAATTTTTCTTCACAAACATAACGTTCACACAGAACTTTTTGGTGTTTCAGTTATGTGTAATTGTTGTGTGTTGTTTGTTGTTGTTGTGTGTTGAATTGGTTTCGTTTGCATTATGACAGAATATATACGAAAACAACGAAAAACAACAGAAATTAGTCGTGAGGCTCGAGTTTTGCCAATTTTTAAAAAGTATGAACAAAGTAGTTGTTGCACCTGGTTTGGGTAAAGTGGACTAACCTGCATATTGAACAGCAGTGAAGGTACAATCTTCTCCATGTGCTGTGCCTCCCAGATGTTCTCGACCAGATCGTCGGATACTGTTTTACGTATAACACCCTGTAGTCCTTTGATGCCAGCCAGTCGCAGGCTATCACGCAAGTCCTGGCTATCGCTGTGACACATGGACGAAAACTTCGAGATAAAGAAATCGTAACGTCGGTGATACGAGGGCGTATCTTCGTTAATATTAGCAAACTTAACAAACTGTAATGGGAGACCGAGAGTAAAATGTTTATAGTTATTACATAAAAGTTTTCAAGGAAAATTAACGTAATCTCAAGAGTCTGAAAGTATTTTTAATTCGTACCGAATTAGTTGCCATTATTTTTAAATTCGGATTAGAATCCTCGAGCAGTTTTTGCACCATGCGCAAAAACGATTCAACGAACAAATTGAGCGTTGTTTGGGCATGACAGGCCTGTAGCAGCAGATCCATGGCTTCCATGGCAATCTCGGCTAGTCTATAAGAAAATGTATAATATATGTTGATATAAGCTATATTATATATTATCTTACTTGTAGCGCTTGCGGTTGATGTCCTTGGTGGCCTTCTGGTAGAGATACTCGCCAATGCGGTCCAGTTTGTCGGGCGAGCTAAGCGAATAGAATGTTAGCTTCTCCATATTCGATTTGACGAGCCCATCCTCTGGGTTGACAGGGAATATGTTGTCAACCAGGCGCTTATAGCGCGGTCGCAGTGCCGAGCAACAGCCGCAGCAACCTAAAAGAGCGCAAGGAAAGGCGCATTGCTTAGATGGATTCGGCAGGCAGACGTGTATGCAGCGATAGGTAAACATGCGATGCAGTAGACGCAGTGTCTGTTGTGCCTTCGGCAATGGATAAATGGTGACTAATAGACTATCAACCCTAAAAGCGGAGTTCGCTGTTGTTCGCTACCAGCTGGACTGGGTGCGGTGGCCATTTAGACCAAGTCGTTTATCTTATCATCCATAATCGTTGCCATTTTTTAAAAGAGAATTGACCCGAGTCGCGTGCTAAGAGCGCATGTTGTTGTTATGGCTATATTTTTTGTTGTTTTCCGTTCTCTTTTGCTACACATCTTCGGTAAAATCCTTGGATTTCGTCATCGATCGCTGGCGTCATTCATTTATTCGTTTGGAGGCCAAATTGCGTTGCTGTTATTTCCACTCTTACCAATCACTCACCTGGCATGTTTGTTCAACAGTCTCTCCTTTTATGTTTTATCGCGGCGTTAGATAATAAACTCTGCGATAAAAGTATTTCGCTGTTGTAAACTTGTGTGCTCGAATTTTTGTTTTTCTCTTTGACTATTTTTACAAGGAGTTGCCACACAGTTTCAAATCCAGTGATCTGGCAGCGTGCTGCCATACTTGAAGTTGGCTGCAAGTTTTAACAGCATTGCTCCACACCACAATAACATTTAATTGTGGTAAGGCGCGTTCGGTTTGTTTTTGTTTTGTGTCTAATGAAAATATGCATTCTTATTTATGTATATATATACTTACAACTGGGATCGGTGCATTTCTGTACAAAGCTATCGAAAAACTCCGGTAGCTCGGGTGGTTCAAAGCAGCAACGTATTAATGCCATTATTATTTTCTATGTTTGTCCCTCAATGAAGAAAGCTGTGCGTTCACTTGTGTATGTGTTCATACATGAGAATGTGTTGGTGTGTTCCTTAGATAAAATCAGCTGTTGACATGTAACGGGAAGAAAGCTTTCGTTTTCACTCAGCTCTAAGCTTTTGTTGCTATTTAAGGTACGCATACATTTGTACATATGAGTATTTATGTATATAGATATATTTTATGCACGTGGCCTATTATTATATGCCAGGCTTGGTAAGAAGATGACCCTCTGGCATTTACATAAGGCAGCAGTGGGAGCACAACACTTAACACTAACATTAATCATATTAACAGAAAGAAGGATGTAATGTTATTAATCAATTTACATTTTAATCACTGTTAATTTTTGCGTAACTCGCATCACCATTATTAAATTTAAAATATCTTGTAGTTAATTGCTTTCACTTTATTGAGCGCCTGACGCTTTACGCGCTTTGTACTTTACTGTTGAGAACAAAAAAAGGTACTGAATGTGAAAAGTTTTGCACAGAACATAATTTGCGCAAAAAAGCTACGCTTTAGCATTTGACAGGCTTCGTCAACGAAAGCTTTCTCTTCTCAGCAATTGAAGTGTGGGAAAAGCTGAAGGGACTTATTTCAAAAATAAAATCCCATTTGCAACTGTTGTGGAACAGTTGTGCCAAAGTCGCGTCTGTGGGAAAGAAAAACCGTTAACCGTTAGATTATACACTCGACCAGGAATGCAAACGACAGTGAGTGAGTGTGAGGGAGAGAGTCCACTTGGCACTGTCAGCCTGGCCGTTGCTGAAGTGTAAAAGATATGGCAAATGCTTCACACGACAGATTCGTGCGTTGACAACTTTATTAAACTTAAATGGGCTCCTTGCAAAGAGTGTGTGTTTGAGAGAGAGAGAGAGAGAGGGAGTGAAGGAGGGTATTTCGTTTTGAGTGGACGTGGGACGCCAACAGATTGGTGCTTTATAGTTTCTTGACCGGTTGACGACGATGACAATCGATGATTTATTTGTATATTTTGCGTATTTCTTCTTTTTTGATTAATTACTGAGATATTCAAATTTTCAAGTGTGTGGGGAAATATTTGCGTGAATTATTTTATTCCGATTGTTGTTCGTCTGCTGAGCTACCTGCAGAACTGCCTGCCTACATGATTTGCTTTGTTTATGACACTTGCCAGAATAGTTTCAGCTGCCCTGGGGATTAGCGCTCTTTCATAACTAACTTATCTACAAGACGAATTAATTAGTAAGGCGACCAACTCGATGAATTCTGATGCTACGCCAATACACTCAGAAAAAAAATATCAAGATTTCGGCGTGCAAAACAAATAAAAACACTTAAAATTAATAAATTCTATATATGCATATTATGAAATATGAAGACTATGCTTGAAAATATTAAACATTTAGAGAATTTTCATATATTTGAAATATTAGAAGTAAGTTCGAATTTTTTTAAAATGAAATGTAGCAGAAATTTGTAAGTAATAAGTATTCTAAGAGCCTCTGCTTATACAGAGTCTTTTGAGTATATGTCTCTCAAGGGTATTTAATAGATTTAATAGATATTTAAATATTTAAAAATTTAAAAATTCAGAATTTTGGAATTTGCTGAATTTAATATTATAATTTAAAGAATTATTTTGATAAGTTTTGAGGCTTAGTGTAGCTTTAAAAATAATCAGAATACTAATTTAAATATGTAAATGGTTATTAATTTGTTTAACGAAATTCAAGCGTGAGCTTAATGGCATAAATTTAAGATTTGAATTTTTAGTTATATTGGGAGAACGTTAAGAGTCCGGAAGTCTTAATAGATTTGAACTTATAATAAAATTTTAATAAATATATATAGAAAAAGGAATATTTTTCCATTCAAGAGCATTTATGTGTGGCTTATATTAGGTGCTAGAAAAGGGCTTTTCGCTAAGTGCAGCGATTATAGCTAGCCAATATCGTGATTGATGAGCTGGGGTGTGCTGCTGGTCTGGGAGGTTACTGTTTGTTTGTCTTACGCAGCATCCGCAGTTGATGCGGCAGCAGCAGTAGCAGCTGTTGGTGTTGAGCGTATCTATCGGACTTTGCTGTACAGAATTTCCATATTATTTCTATGATGCAAACCTAACGAAGATACTAAAACTGAAGCTGGAACTAAGTGAAGAATGTTTTTGGGCGAGCTGGTTTCACTTGTTTACATCGCCAACATCAACAGCCCAGTCACATCTTGCCTTCATTTAAATCAAGTCAGAGAGAGCGAGTGCCACAGAGAGCCAGAGCGAGTGAGTGAGTGAGAGAGAGAGAGAGCGAGCGTAAAAGAAATGCCGGCTACCTGTTGCTCTGTGCTGCTTACCTGAGCTCGGCTCATTAAGCTCCAAGACGATGAGCTTTGACGCTCACGAGTAAAGTTTCTGAGCTTGTAACGCGGATCGTTCAAGTTTTTAGCTTTAGTCGACTTTCAGACGTGACGGTGTTCACCTGGCTGAACCCAACGTGCGATACTCCCACTCTCACTCGCTCGCTCTCTCGCTCTCTCGTGTGTGTGTGTGTGTGCGCGCGTTTAAGATGCGCGATTTGTTATACAAAATTGACAACGATTAATATATATATTTATATATATATACGAACTGGTCAGCACAGCTGCTAACCCTAACTCGCTTGCATTTGCATTGCAATTAGGAAATCAATATTGCGTCTCTCTCTCTCTCACTCTCTCGAATATTTGCGATCAATCGCCAACGACCATCGGCACGTCCATTCAACTGCACTCAACCCACACACATAGAAGAAGGAAAAATAAAATTAGAAAAAAGTTAGAAAAAAAACAAACGACTTTGTGCGCAGTGCAAAAAGCAAATCGTGATAAATTTTCGCTTAAATTGTGCAAACGATTTTTTGGTAAAAAAAAACATTTAACAACGACTGCATGTGTGTGCGAGTGTGTGTGCATGTGCAGGTGTGTATGTGTGTGTGTGACTAATTAAGAATTTGATGTGCATTTGCAAAACGATTTCAAAAGAAGATCGAACTACACTCGCCTCAACAAGTGCAACAATTTGTTTATTCATCCAGCAACAACAAACACAGCAGCAACAACAACTCAAATAACAACTAATGTAATTAGAACTGCGCAAAACGCTTTTGATGAGGTGAGTCGCTTAGCTGCAATAGAATTGTAAATACAATTGTCACAAATATTTAACGTGGGCTTTTCAAGGCATCCAAATGAACTACAGTAGAGCTACGCTAAACCAGACTTTCCAACAACAATTTCTGACTCTGTAACGCTTTTACTTTCTGTAACCAATCGAATTATTAAAACAAATCTAATCGTAGCTATACTAAATATTAAAAAAAAATAAAACAAAAACAACTAAAAAAACGAGAGATTTTTTTATTTCTTCTTCTGAATAATTCAAATCGCTGTTTCGCCCAACATCTTATCTAAAATCTTACCTTTTATGAACCTAGAATATTCTTAGTTTGTTCCAATTACACATATACAACATCTGTGTGTGTGTGTGTGTGTGGGTGGGTGGATGTGTCTACACTTGTCGCAAAATCCAAGAACGTTTTGTTTATAAGCTGCAAATTCGAGTTGGAAAACGCTTCATCAGAGCCTGCCATGAATTCCAATCAGAATATTTATTGTTTGAATTCTTCTTGAGTATTTTAAGATAATAAGCAGGAAGTTTGATTATTGAAAAATTCCTCGTCTGAGACATTCCTTTATGACAGGTTTTACATGTAAGAAATGCACAAAAAAAACTTGAAAGTTAACAACAAAAAAGGAGCAAATAAAATTTTTAAAATATTGCAATTCGCACAACTTTTGATTTTCAAGCATTCCGTGTAAAACATTCGTTCATGATCGCTTGGCGCTTTTTTATGAAGATTTATGCAAAATGTTTTAACAGATTTAAAACATAATAAATTAAAATGCAATTATTGAAAAATCCTGAAGTTTTTTCTTGAGAAGAAAACAGTTCTTATAAAAAGAAAATAATAAAAAATAAGCTAAACAATTTAAGTAATAAAAAAACATTTTGCTTTTTTTTATTAGTTTTATTATTTTTCCTTTTTTAAACTTAAATTATTTTGTTATTATTTATTAAGTTTAGCCCGCATTTATTTATTGATTATTGATTCAATATTTTTTTGATTAAATATGTTTGCTTATCAACAAGAGAGCTAAAGTGCGTAAAGAGTATATATTTTTTGCAATAAAATTAAGTGTAGAAAGAAAAAATAAATTGCCAATTTTGTGTTTTGATTTATCAATTTTTTCCCACTGCTAGGAGTAAATAGATAAGAACGCCTAGATAACAATAGATAAAATTAATTCTTAAATTTGAATTCAAAATGACTGCTGAGCTCTTTTCTCGCAGTGTATGCCCAGCCAACGCATTGTCAATAGTAGACACACGTTTCTGACTCATTTGGCAATTGCTGAAGTAGAATAAAAACAGGCTGATTAATAGTTCTAAACACATTTGCGCCAAATGGAGCACCGACAAATTGAACTGTTACCCTTTTGGCTAACTCTTTGCTCTTAGCTCAAAGTAATTTAAAGTTCACAATGTCAAGACTTTCTTTCGATTTCAACAAAGTATTGGCAACATTTTTGTAAGTCCATAAATATGCGAGCTCTCTAAGCTGCCGACTTGTTGGAGCTACAAGCTTTTGTTGTGTGTTGTGTGTTGTGTGCTGCGGCGATTGCTTTGAATTTCGGATGCAAATTAATAACCAATTATAATGTGAATATAAAGCTTTGCTATCATTATGATGAACTCGTGTATCGCCGAATGATCATTCCAATGATAATGCGGGACGGCAGCTGAACACGAACGGAAATAGAATTCTGAAGGTCTTACAATGCAATCTATAAATATATATATACATATATATATATATATATAGATATTTCTTTACAACTGTAAATTTTTTAGTGAAAGTTCGATTGACTAAGCCTTTTTAAGGGAAGGGACGTGTTTCGATGCTCGTTCACACAGCGAAAAGAGTAGATTGGCTTTTGGCAATGGCCGACTGAATGTCTATCTGTTCTAGTTAGGAAGTTGATTTTGGCAATAGTTAATCGAATATATACAATATATATGCTCATTCCATTGAGGCGTGGTTAAATAAGAAAATTCTATTATATCTTGATATAGGAGCTAGAGTCTTGATGCCCCACACATGAAACTGAACAAGTATTATGCAGTCAGCTTTCGCAAAGGCTGCTACAGGTTTCTTCTTAATAATTTTCACCTTAAAAAATTAGCCGACGAATATGTCCACTATCGTTTCGCGTTTCAGTTCTAAGAGCTCAAATAAAATTAGCATTGCAAATGTGATTGAAAATGCGAATTAAAATAATTTGCCTTAAAATTCACATAAATTTTCGACTTTAAATTCGATTAGGAATTTTTTATTTATGTATTTTTGCCAAAATCGCAAATATTGCTCAAAAACAGCTAATATACATATGTAATTTGTTAAATATAAAAAACTTTTATCTAGACGATCTAGAACGCTTTTGCAGATTTCTCCATTTGACATTTGGATTGCATACGATTTACATTCATTTGTTGTACGAGAGAGCTGAAGTAAGCATCGAATAGAAAATTTAAGTAAAGAATTTTATAAACGTTCTCTTATAAGATAGGAAACTTGTGAAAATGGCTGGAAATTCGAAACCAACAAAATTGCAAAGCTTATGCAACACTTTGAATTGGTTCTTCAATCTGCCAGCTGTGCAAAATGCCAAAGTCTCGATTGTTGTTCTCCTGGATTTGCTGACGCTGTCGAGCCTATGTCCAGCTTACTCCAATTATATTGCTCGACCGTTTCTCTTGTGGAAGTATTAAGCAAGGATAAAGATAATATATGTATACTGTATATTTATACATATATATTTATAAATATATATACTTTTGTAGCTGCGTTCTGTACGTGGGCGCATTTTGAACTTGTTTCCAAACGATCTTCACCTTCAGTTCAATGCCAATGCCAATGACGTCATGCTGCGGACTGCATGTAAGTAGCGTGTGTGTGTGTGTGTCTGTGTAGGTGTCTTCGAACTGGCTAACACCTCTCTTTGCCCCACAGCTGCTCGTTTCCAGCAAGTCTCTTGGCCTGCTTGCCTGTTGTCTTCAAACGCTTTGCCAAAACATTAAATCGACGCACAAAATTTTGTTTTTTTCGCTTTTTTCGTGCTCATTAAAACTTCGAAAGTTTCGGCTTTTGTGTCTGGAAATAAACGTCAATTTAAAAGGAACCTGTGCAGCAGCGAAATCAAGCGACGTTGCATACACAAACACACACACGTACTCACACACACACACACACACGCACAACAAATTGAAAATTCTCGAATAAACTGCTTATTTTTTGTGTTGATGTTGCCAAAAATGGTGTAGAGCCTTGCCTTGTACGCAGTCCTACGGCTGGTTTCGTTTTTTCTCTCTTTTGGAAGCTGTGTTGCGTGTTTTTTAGCTGGCTGCCGTTTTTGGTGTGCATGCGTCAAGGATGATTTGTTTTAATGCAAAAGGCAGCAGCGGCAGCGGCATCAAAATTTTATTTGTGATTTTTTCTTTATTTTTTTTTTTTGGTTTTGTTGTGCTTGCTTCCTGCCCCGCGCCTGTTTGACTCATTGTACGTAAATTTTCTGTCTGCCATTTAGCACCTACGAAGTGTTTGTCTTCACAAATGTGCCGCAGGGTGATTAACACTCTTCGAACTAAATACACTTGAAAGTCTTAGCCATGCAATTGTACACATTTCCGAGAGTTGACTGTAACAGAGAAACAAATATAAACAAATTGGCAATGCTGACTGGCTTTTAGTGTCTTGTATATGGGCTGCTAATGAATGCGCGTTCCCCGAGTGACCTTACCTAATAGCGGGCCAACGCTACGCGGCGCATCGGGTCAACAAAAGCAGGCAACATTCACTTTCGCATCGTGCACCTTTAATTGCCCACGGGGCAAACATCAAACGCAAGACAAATCAAATTTAAAGTGTGTTGGCCAGCAAATACCCTGCTGTATGTAGTTAAGGAATAAATATATATAGCAGATGATGGATCAGATGAATAAATATATTTATTATGTTACACATTATCTTGAATTGCTCTTTTTTAGTTATTTATCTGCATTAAAAGTTGACTGCATTCAGTGCTGTCAAAATTATGGCATATTTCTATTACCTTAGGTAACTCACTAAAGTAGATAGATTCCTAAAATAGTTTTCTTCAGATAAATTCCTTAGATTACTACGATAGATACCTCAGATTCCTTTGCTGCTCAGTTGGCATTTGATATTCTAGTTAACATTTGACTGCAAATTACATTGAAGGCAATTTATATATAAAACTGAATACTTAAAATACATTAGGCATCAATCTTTCAGTCTTCAGTCTTTCTTTCAGACTGCCTTCGTCTGCTCTACGATAACTAATTTAACTAATCTTGAGTTCATACACTCTATATAGGCCAAGTTGTGCCAGCATCTGCCTGTTATGCACAAATTTAGCTACGTCTGCAATATACCTGTTTAGCCCACATGCAATGTGTACAGGGGAACAAAAACAAAATCAAAATCGAATTCGAAATGTGTGAGACAAGAGCCAAGCGCACAAAGTCTTCCAAATGGCGTAATCGCATTTGTATGTGTGTGTGTGTGTGTGTGATTTGTGATTGTTGAGGCGGCCTGAAAGCCAGCGTTGAGACTAGCTGTTGATTTAATGGGGTCGACTGCTATTTAACAAATTGTTTAACCTGGTCGCGTTTTCATTTGTAATGGACAAATGGACTGACATTGAGCAGACGTTGAGCACGTTGAGCGGAAGTTGATCGGTCAATTGTGAACGGTAAACAGCATTTGACACTTCACAAAGCATGTGCGGAAGTTAACTCACAATGCTCTCAGAAAAGACCCAATTAGTGGCCGGCAATCATAATCATAACTGAAACACTTATCAGCTTAGCTGTGTTTTTTTTCAATTGACCTCCTCCCGCATTGTCTCTGGCCTGTGGTGCCTCAGGTGTATCAGGTGTCAAGTGACGCCATTGGCATTGGCAGGTGCAGGGGCAACTTTGATTGCAATACGACGCCCTGGGAACGCTCTAAGCTGATTTAATTTGGGCAAAGCTTAGCACGGATATACCCTGTAAAGCTGGCAAGAGACGGAGAGTCTGCAGCTGTAAATTGTTAGACATAACAGCAAAGCTTTTCAGCTATACACTGTAGAAAAGGAATGATAACGTCTTTAACTGGAATTTTCGGTTTCCCTTAATGGAAACGAGCCTGGAAGTCAATCTTTTAGCTTAATATTGACATACAGTGCAGAAAAGTTATGAGAGCGTCTTTAGCTGGAAGTTGTTAGAGAAGTTATTTCGAAGATCTCTAAAGATCAGCCTAAACCAATTGAAAATTTATATTCCACATATTTTCTACTCACAGGATTGTGCTCTTGAGAAGAGATAAGCAAACAGGGTATTTTTTCTATACAATATCTTAATTGGCACACATTTCGATGGCGTCAAGCTCTGGCTGACTGGCAGAGTGGATCGAACCAAAAATGAATATTTGGGGCGTGCATGATGTTAGCCGAAAATGCTTTCAATGAAGTCATTAAATTGATGTATTGACTGCCGGTCGCTGGCCGTTGGGCCTGCTTAGCTTTCATCTCTCTCTCTCTCGAGCCAATTATGAAGTTCCAAGAACTGCGTCTGGTTGCGACTGCCATAACGATTCCAGCAAATTTCTCTTTGTCTAGCCAGCCTTTTTGTTATAATAATAATTGACCGATGTGATGTCATTCGCTTGTGGATGCTTTGCCAAGGCATTGGGTGACATTTGATGACTGCCTCGCACAAAGAGACAAACTGAGATTCATGCATACAAATGAGAGCTGGAAACTGGAGCGATTACGATCATGCATTGTGCTGCCCGTTTCCCAGTTCGTTTGCCACTAACGATAATGGCCGTCTTATCAATTGGCAAAAAAATGAGAAAGAAAGAAAATTTGTAACGCGTTTCATAATGCGGCTGCAATGGGGCCAAATTATTTTGGGACTGACCGCCATTATGCGCATTACCCAATGCGCTCCAATATATATATATCAAGCAGTATAAATAATGTCGAAATTGAGTCACTCAAACGATCGTTACCCTCATCCCCTGCACCGTTCCTTTCGGCTGACTGCTTTGTATGCCGCCCAAGCGTTGCGGTCAACAACATTTGACGATATCTGCCGAAACTGTATGGCATATCAATGAACTCGTCTTGCGATCAGCTGCAGATGGCAGACGCGTCTGCTCCCAATATTATTTTACGATATTGAAATTTCGAAATTTTAAGCGGACTTTGCATTTCCATTAATCAAAAACTATATTACGAGCCACTCGCGCACTTTTAGTATGTTTATATGTTTAGCATATTGATGAACCCGGCTCGCAATCAGCTGAAGTTGCTGCTGCTTACAATACTGATTTGTGATATTAAAATTAAAATTCAAATTCCAGCAGACTTTGCATTTTTATTAATCAAAAACTAGGTACTCACGTACCCAAATCATATAGTCATATATATCCATTCCATTAAATGCCAAGCTATACGGCATATGAATGAATTCGGCTCGCAATTAGCTCCCAAAATAATTTTACGATATTGAAATTTTCATCATTTTTATCAATCAAATATTATAAGTTACTCACGTGCCTACAGACCATACATATATATCTTCTATATATGCCACTCTGTATGGCATATCAATGAACTCATCTCTCAATCAGCTGTAAGCGCATTTGCCTCTAATTTAAAGTTACGATATTGAAATTTCGAAATTTTAAAATGCTTTCATCAATCAAAAAGTGTATTACGAGACGCTGACATACCTATAGCATATACATGCACATATATACTTACATATTTCAGCAGACTCTTGCATTTCTATCAATCAAATCAAATTAAATCAAATCACATCCCTCATAGCTGGCAGCTAATAATTAGACTCAAGATTTCAGCAAAAATTTGCATAAATTATGTTCCAATCGCCGCTACCGCTGGCCCAGTGGCTTTAATTACCCCGGCAGCGACATTTGGTATAGATAAAAGCCAAATAAAAAGTCAAAAAGAGAAAAAAATGTAAGACGGGAAAAGTGAAACTGCGTTGTGGCTTATGCAAGACGGAAGATGGTCGCACAGTTCGCATGCAACATGGATTATGAGTTGTGCCAGAGACCCAAAGAAGGAAAATATTGCATGCCTAGCGCCCTTTTTCCCACTGAAGTTGTTGCATGCAGCGTTGGCAGCTAGGCAGCATGCAACATGCGGCACGTTGCATGGGCTTGGGTGCCAATTGCCGATTCGTTTCTTCGTCGTTGACCTTTGCCACCGTCAACATTGCCGGAAATGTTGCCCGAGCTCGAAAGATGCAACCGAAAAACGAAACTGACACCCAGAGCTTTCAAAATTTCGTGCAGCCTCTTAGCGAGAATTGTTGGGTGAAAAACGAAATGAAAAGAAAAGAGTTGGGCAACAAACTGTGCTCATAACTAGAAATTGAATCAAAAGACTTAGGCAACGAACTTGGCTCACAGCTAGAAAATTAAACGAAAGACTTAGGCAACGAACTCGGCTCATTTGCTATTTACTCAGTAATTGCGCACAATTCTCGCTGCCCGATTCATATAATTGATAAATTAGAAAACATTTTGAAAACTCACTGAGCGAACAATCAAGGGCCAACTCAGCATTCGCCTGATGACGCTCATTTCGAACGCTGATGATCGATCGCTCTTCGGCACATGTGTGTGAGTTTCTTGTTCGATATGATACCTAATTGATTTCTGCACAGGTTAAAAGTCGCACAGCCAGCACACTGTGACATGTGAAAAATGGCACAGCAGCAGTCGAGAGCATACTCTACAGCTATTTTAGCTTAGGGTATTATCACTAAAGCCTTAGTTATGTAATGCCAAGCAGATATATACTCAACAGGTATTCTATTTAGAGGCTAATTGAAAGAAATTCCTTTGAAGTAAGCAAGATATGCTCAGATATAGATCGACGTCTTCATATATAAGGGCAAGCAGATTGGCTAAAGGTCAGGCAGATGGTCAGATAGCGCGAGTTTAGCTCTTAATCAAGATTATTTATGCTTTTCGAGCTCGCCCACGCCTTCTATATTTGAACAACAGCAATATGCCCTAGATTGAAATTTTCTAAGAAATAAATATTTAAAAATTTAATATATATACACATAAAATAATAACTGTAAATATCGAATACTTTTCACTCTATCAACGCATATTTCTGCTAGGGTATTAAAGCTTCAGCATCGCTAAGTAAAATATTCTTTTTCATCTTATTTTTTGCCCATGTAGCTATTGATACTCTCTGGGTTAATTATTGTATTATAAATTCGAAAAGTGAAATTTGTGTAGTCCAAATTTGTGTGCCCGCTGGGAGCAGCTCAGAGCTGAGAGCCACATTAATCATTGGCAGCTTGCCATTAAATAAGAAATTGATTTACATTTCTCATCAAAACTGCCGAAAAGCTGATACACTCCGGTACACTGAGATAGCAACGCTTACACACACACTTGTGTATTAGATGCACAGCTTTTCGTATTTCGGTAGTGTACAAGGCAAAGAAATTGCCACAAAGGCGCTGAGCAAAAGAAAACAGAGAGGAAAACAAAAAAGAAAAAAGTTGCAATGTAATGCCGCAGAGATTAACCTTCTAACATACATAATAAAGTGAAATATGTAGTCATAAATACAAACGTTTCCTAGACGGACTTGTGAGCTACAGTTTAGTGAGCTAACAAAGCGTGAAAATGACAGCGTGCTCGAGCACAATGTGAACAAGGGAATGGGAGCGGGGCGGGGCAAAGTGGGGCACTGCGACTGCGATGGTGAGATTGACGGCCGGCCATCAACGGGGCAGCCAAACAAAACGATGACAAACAATATGCGAACGGATATGAGACGAACTCAGTGAGGTTGGCATTGGCCAGTGACTATCTGTGTGTGTGTGTGTGTGTGTGCGTGTGGGCGCTAGCTTAACATTAGAATAGCAAATGAAATCTCTTTTCAACTTGTCAGCAGTATCTTAGGTATGCAATATGGCTCTAAATATGGCAAGTAGCAATTACTAATTTCTTTTGTGCGCTGCGCATGCAACAAGGGAATTTAGTTGTAAAAATCGAAAATGCAAAAAAAAAAAGAAAACGAAATAAATAAAAAATAGAGACAGAGACTGCTGCTGCTGCTGCTTCTTCTTATTTTCCTCGGCTGTCGCCGACAACCAGCTCAGCACAGTTCAGCTTCTACTTGGCTGTCTTTGTGTCTGGAAATGCCTCTGTCTCGCTGTCTGAGGTATTGAGCTCGATGCGGCATCCACTCACAGATGCCTGAGCATAGATATCGAAATGCAATTAAGTATTTGCCAAGTCGGCAAATGGACGTTGGAGCAGCAGCAGCGACGGCCACGGCGACGTCTCTGCTGCCGCTGCGAGCGCCACCAACAAAGCAAAAGGCGGCACGCATGGAAAAATGCAGTCGGAAAGCAGAGGTTCCAGCTATAGCTCTTGGTCTTTGCATAACTTTGACGTCGGCTTGGACTTCTACGGCTGCTGTTCGCCTTGGGGCTTGGCCATACTTACAAATTGGACTACACCTTCATTTTCACTTCGGCTTCGACATGGCTTTTAGACAGACTCAATTTCTGTTAGCTGTTTGTTTGCCCATTGCCCATTGCCTGTTGCCTGTTGCCTGTTATTTAGACTGAACCTGAACCTGAACCTGAACCCCCTTTCCAAAGGTCAGCGGCTGGCGCTGCGAGAACACACACAAAGTGGGCGAACGCGTTGTTTGCCTTTGCCTCAAACTTGGACTCAGCCTCACACTCGGACTCTGGCTCGCCTGTCTGCCTGTCTGTCAGTCCGTCAGTCTGTCCACTGGGGCTGTTGCCGCACTTTTGGTTTCACTTGACACGCTCGCTGGCTGGTTGTGGGGGCAGGCCCAGCAGGGGGAGCACCTGGGCTGGGCCTAGGCCGTCATTATGTTTACTGATTGTCTTGCTCTGCCTCATTCGCCGTGTCAAAGTTCAAGTTCAGAATCATTACTTCGCCCCTTCCAACGCTTGTTTGTTTCTGAGCCCCATTTTTCGTATAATTTAAAATAATTTGTATAAAATTAGCTACACACTACGCAATTGCAAAATTAGATACAAATTGCATTCAGCAAAGTTGTTTAATTGAATATATATATACATATATATATATGCTCAGAGCGAGGACGTCGCACAGGTTAGCTCCTACGCTTCGAAGCGCTACAAATTTTATGTTTATTACACCTTAATAATGCGTGTTTACAAACAAATCACGTTCATGGCGCAATCAACGCGCAGCAATCGGCATCGGCATCGGCATCGGCATCGTAGCATCGTAGCATCGACATCGGCATCTGGGCCTCGACCTGCTGCCAGTGGGTTCTACTTATACACATAGTCGTCGGTGTCCATGCTGACTAGTCAGCTTCCCATCAACGTCAGTCGATGCGTCGTTGCGTCGCAGCGGCTAGCGCAGCGCAGCGCACGCATCGCCACTCAAATTATATGGTAAAGCATTTTTATTGGCAGCTTCAAGCGTTTTGCGTACACTTAGCGAAACAAATTGTGACTTATTTTCTATGCCAAATTAAGACTTTCAGCTGTGAAGGTTTTAGCTGACTTCAAATATTATTTTTTCAATTTTTCAATTATTTTATGTAAGTAAAATTCTTCAACTGCGTAAATTTTCAGTTAACTGGGAAAATGTTATACCTTGCCTCAACTGCTGAAGTTTTTATATTAATAAATATTTTCATTTAATTTTTTAATTTCTAAATAGAAGAGTTACGTACAACTATAAGTTGTGACTAATATCAGTTTAACGGAAAAAATTTATATTATTTTGAAGCATTAAAATTCTTGCATTTATACAAAATGCATGAACAAAAAAGTATTTATTTATTATTTATATTTTATCGGGCATTTTATTTATTTATTATATTTTATCTGGTATAAAAATTGCTTAAAGTGTTCTATACACATTAAACAATTTTTATGCCAGATTCCAAACTGGAAACAATCTACATTATTGGTTTCTCTCAGTGTATGTGGTGCAATGCTAGAGCCTGGGCAGCCAGACGTTCTAGTCATGATCATACGCCGTCGCCATTGATGTCTAGTCGCTCGATTGACTTTAGCCTGTGGTGTGTTCTCTGTGTGCGAGTGTATGTGCTTGTTAGAGTGGAAAGCTGTCCTGTCTGTAAGTAAGCCAGTAAGTGAATGAGCACTGGGCAGTCGCTACAATTCTGAGTCTGGTTCTAAGCGCTCTCCGACTGCGGCTCTGGCTATGATTGCGGCTCGGCCTCTGACCAGGTGCCATAATGGGCATGCATTTTCTACCCATTACATCGCGCTGCTGCGTTGGCGTTTTGGGTGGGTGCGTGTCTGCCGTGCAGTGGTGCCCTGGACTGGACTGGACTGGCACACAAACTAAGTGGATGCTCATTGGCTGCGCCTGCTTAGCGCGGCCAGTTGCAGTCGAAGTCCTCGGGGCGAATGCATTGTTTAAATAGAGTTTGTTCGACTCGTATTCAAATATGAATATTATCGCGTTTGCTTAATCGCAATCAACATATATTCATGTTGTTGTTGTTGTTGTTATATTTAGCTGGAGGACACACCCAAATTGTCGGCCAGTTTGCTGGCTACCCGACATCCGCTTTTGTATTGATATTCGCTCCACTCACTCAAACTCCATTCCGCTCAGTGACAATGACAAAGGCGCGCTTCGAATTATATATGCCATATATCGTATGCAGACAGACAAAACACCCTCATGATGTACGTATTCTTGATTTTTTTTTGTTTTTTTTTTGTGCTTCGGCTAACGAGCATAACGCAAAACAAACTTGATTCGCTTTGGCCACTTCGTGTCGCGCCCCCTTTTGAAGCCACAAGCTGGGGGCGGTTAGGGTAACGCGGATTCGTCTACAGAGTCATTGGCTTTTTATTAATTGGCAATTATTCTTTTCACTGTCAGGTTTTTTCTTTTATTTCTCTACTTGTTTTCGTTTCTAATTTCTTGGCGGTTTATTGCGTTGTGTTTGTCTGCAAACGGATTATGCGCGGCATACGAAATCTCTTGTTAACAAAAATAGATTGAGGAAAACTTTTTTCCCTCTTTTTGTCTATCAAAACTAAAGCTTTGATTTAATTTTAATAACACTTTCGCTGGCAGTGGGGCACATGTGAACTGCCCATTAATAAAGCAAGTAAAAAGTTGATTTAACCAAAAAAAAAAAAAAACAAATAAACAAAACAAACTAAACGAGGTCGCGTCTAACCAGGCTTTCAAACCAACAAAAAACAACTCAACACATAATACGAACTAAACCGAAGGCGAATTGCATCAAGAACTTGACGTTGAGATATGTTTTTTCTTCTATTTTCTATTTCGATTTGCAGTCAAGATTTTAAACAAGGTTTCTAAGTCGAACCTAACACAGAATATAAAATGCCTGGAACGCCAGCTTAAAACTTTTCTCCCAGCCAAGTGAAAAATTGAAAGCGAACAGCAACAACAACAACCCCAGCAACGACTCACAGAATAATTATAGCTGATAAAAGAAAAAGTACTTGCAATAGGAGTCAAAATGCCGCCTCAACCTCAGCATCAACATGGAACAACAACAACAGCAGCGGCGAACGGCGGACCACGTGTCAGCTTCAATCGGGATGTTCATGTGAAGCGCATAGGTCAGTGTGTTGTGTTAAGGCATATAACCTCAAAATAACCACAACACACACACACCTACTCACACACTCACACACACACATACGCCTAAATACATGCCTAACTAAAAAGCCGTCATTAGTCTAATGATAAATTAGTTGAAACTCATTGTTAACAAAAGTAGAGCATTGGGCTAAGCATCGGCACATCAATCACAAAGCTCAGAACTGAAATCACACTCAAATTTATTTATAATAATAAGAGTTTTTTAAAGCCAAATTTACTATGTTTTTGCTGAAATGTTATAAAAAGTTGCGGAAGGCAAATTATGGAAGAAGTCGGCTCAGCTTGCTTAGAGCCACAGAATCTTTTCAAGTCGGAGTGCTTAAGGAATGCAAATGAAATTGAGAAATTGAATGTAATTCTTAGAAATCACTTATTTTTGCGATATTTGCAATTGTTAAAAATTATTGGTTTTTTCTGGAAAAAGAGAGAATGATATCTGTTAATTTTTCAGTATGACATATTCAAATTTTAATACAACAAATTTCTAAATTCATAAAAGAACTATAGATATTAGCGTAAAAGTTCCTACAGTCTCATACGAAATTTGAAAAAACTTTTGATAGCCTCAGAATGAACTTTTAAAGCTACTTTTTATATAAATTTTTCAAATTTGAAGTTGAAAAATTTTGGAAAAATTTTTTATTTGATTAATGAGTAAAAGAATAAAAAAAAAAATAAATAAAAAATGTAAAAGATAATAGATCAAGAAAATTTATTCAGCCTTGACAAAGCAACGAAGGATTCAATGAAGTCACTAGAGATTAGGAACCAGGAAAAGCTTTACAAGCCAAGCTTTTATACTAAATTCTTAAGCAAATAATATTAAATATAATAAATAATGTAAATAATAAATTTTAAAAAAATATTCACTGAAAATATTAAGTGGAAGAACAAGTTCCCATTGAAGTTTAAAATAAGCTGCAAGTATCACAGCAGCTGAGCTCAGTCAACAGCTGTTGACTAAAACATTCTTTCTCTTTTCTCAGCTGCTAGCTAAGTGTATTTTTTTCACTAAAGCAAATTTATTGTCTACTGTTTACCTACTTTTTACCTGTTTTGCCATGTCAATAATTGCATTTCTCCACACGGCTTTTGAATGTGCTCAATGTTTGCCGCTAGCTAAAATGATCAAAATACACAGATACAAACACACACACACACATATATATATACTGGCATCGTGACATACACGCTAATTTTGGTCAATCAATGCCGCAAACAACCCACGCTCCGCACATCGACAATCGGAATGACTACATAATTCAACTAACTAATTAACTGGGCAGTCGCAGTCAGCAGTAAGCTGCGAGCTGCGAGCTGCGAGCTGCTAGCTGATTGGGATTCTAAGATGGTCAGAGACATGGCAAGCGAATCACCTTCGTGCTAGTTCAAAATGGTTAGGCGACTTTGGCTTCGATGGTGCTGCAAAAATGGCATTTGCACATCCATCAATTGCATAATTCTTTGAACTGTTTTGACGAGTCCCAGTGTTGATATTGATTGCATGCATCATATATAGAATATATAAACACATATATATGTATATATATGTGGCTTGTATGTTTATAGGGGAGCTGGAAGCAAAGCAGTGGGCGAATAAGCCAGAACGAATGCCAAAAGCAATGCTCGTAACAATGCCGCCTCAACAATAAAATGTAGTTTACCTTGAGAGCTCGCACACAAGTCAGGCACAAATAACTATTTTAAATAAGTAGATATATATATATATATAATTTTTTTATAAGGCATTACAAGTTCCAAGTAGTGAGACACTCTCTACAGCTGCTGCTGCTGCGTCTGGTTGTTAAAGCCAAAAGTATCACTTTGCACATCAGTCTTTGGGTCTCGCACTGGCAAATGGGTGGCTGAGCCTGAAAAGAAAAAACATATATAAGTACGAGAGCTGTGGGCGGGCGTGCACGACTAGACAATACCCTAAAAATATCTTGTAATACTTTAAGCAGCTATAGGCAGGAAGGAACAAGCTCTTCTCGGAATAGTTGTACCTGAACAACTTTGGTTCTAGTTGTATGTTCTTCAAGCAATTTAAAGAACGTCATTGTACAAGTCAAACGTGTTTCTGTACCAAAGTTGAAGCTTATACTATATGAAGTAAGCTCTATTTGAACAATATGTGTTTGGTGTATTACAAATTGCTAATAATTTAAGAGCTGAATTCATCACAGAAAGCTTCAAGCCAAAGTTGACGTTCACAACTGAAGTTATTTATCGATTAGAGAAAAACTGGATGAGTTATAGAGTAAGAAAATTATTAATTTATATTGTCAAGTTTTCAACTTTTGTTTGCAGTGGATTGATGTTCCTGTCTCCATCAAGACAGGAATATATATGCCATATGGAATCATCCACGCCTTCTTCTACCAATTGCATAATTTTGCAAAAAAAGCTATTATACCCTAAATTCCCATTTTCACTGGGTTCAGGGTATAAAAAGCAACGAAAAAACTCATCAGTGGCACTCGCATTAAATATATATATGTATGTGTGCATGTATGTGTATGCGCTCAGGCTGGTACGACTGCCGACTGCCGACTGTCGACTGTCGACTGTCGACTGTCGCTGTGGCTGCAGCAAGAACTGTCTGTTTGTCTCCAGAGTCGACTACATTATTATTGTTATGATTATGTCTGGCAGCAGTTGCAGCAACAACAACAAGAACAGCAACAATCCTCCAGTCCAGTTGGGGCTGCATTTATAATTGCAGGGGCAATGCGATTTATACCAAAGCTAGAATGGAATTTATGGCCTCTGTCTGAAATGAAGAAATTAAAAATTGATTATGACAAAAGCGGCATAAATGTAAATTATTTAGCTGCATTTAGTAGATGCGCGCAGTCACTGGCTGGTCACGTTCGTTGCCTAAGTCTTTTGTTTTTGGCTTTCGTCTCGACTTGAATTTCCTTCTGCAGCTCACACTCAATATGGTCTAAACTCAATTTGTAATTAAATTGAATCTAGTTAATGTTTTGCAATCACCTCTAATTTCGGCCTTGGCAACTATGTAGTCGCAAGTGGCATTAAAAGTTTTGCTCTTCTTTACTTCAAATTGAGCTGAAATCGCGACAAGATCTCTTTGGCTAACTTGTTTGTGCCGCTCGTTAGATTGATGTGTTATTTTAATTAGATTTATTTGCCAAAATGATGGCTTAAAGTCTCATCTAAAAACGGCCAAGGCGCCATTTAACGATACAGACGGACGGAGCATGTGAGGGTTAGACGGAGAGAGAGAGAGGGAGGCAGACTACACGTAGTTAAGCATAATGTTTTAAATGACTTTGTTGTTCACATGCAAATTGAGGCAATTATGTGAGAAAATATAGATAAAATGATGATTTAATTTTAGCTTAAAAACATGGGTGTGTGTGAGTGTGTGTGTGCGTAGCAAAAATTAGCTGCCTGTGGGGTTAAAGCCACATTTCATTCCGAGCTGTTGAGGCTAATTTTGAGGCAAGTTTTGCTCTTTGCTTGAGCCTCACTTGATGAACAGCGAGTCAAGTGTATAAACAAACTTATGAATGTGAGTATATGAGTGCGTGTGTGTGTGTTGGTGAGTGCGATTGTGATGTCAGTGTATTTTAGCTCGTGGGCAACCTTGCGTAGCGACAAATTTGGCAGCAACGAGTCAAGCTGCTGCCAGCTGTTATTCCAGGTGTGTATGTAAGGCAGGTTGTTGCAATTATTATTGTTGTTTTTGTGATTATACTTGTTTATTAAGTGAAAAGATGCATATTGGCACTGCTGTGATCAGATTCTCTTAATTATTAAAGTTCAGCTGGCTAGTAAAGTCGTAAGTAGCTGCAATGTGCAATATATACTCTTGTCCAGTCTTGTCTATAAGTTGCTTAGATCTATGATGTTCGCGTGCTAAATTGGAGGTATATATATTTATGGCAGTTAGTGATATAGTTAATAAGTTACAGTAGACTGCATGTAGATCAGTCTACATAGATTGTAACTCACATATTTACATGGTGTAGACATTCTATATTAATTGATCAGATATGCTACATCTATATATATATAGTTTACATATATATAATTTTAGAGCTTAGATTTCCATGTTTTGTCCGCAGGTTACAGATTGATCTTCTTTACAGAAGGATCTATGAATTATGAACTCTTTGAGCTGTAGCAAATTTAAAAAAAAATTAAAATTAAAATAATTTATCCTATTTCTAGATCATCTGGCAAGATTCGTAGTCATATTAGTTTCATTTATTGCTGTTCTGTACTGTACAATCTGCATTAGAACACGCTGAGAGTTAGATGTGATCCACAAGAGTTGAACAACTGACATCCGTTGCGAATGACATAATCTTTGAGCAGCTGTTCAGAGGAGAGAGTACCTGACTTGCTGACCATAATGTGACTCATTAATTGATTCAATTATGGCACTGATCTTGCAACAAGTTGTCGTAATTGGGCATCCGCAGCATAGATCATGACGCAAGATTTGCAATTTGCGATTTGCAATTTGAACTCGTAATTAAATGAGCCGCTGTTTGCCACCGTGTTTTATAATGCATAAATACATATATTTTAATGAGCTCGCATATATTTTAATTAATTAAATTTAATTGTTAAAAACGACAGAAGAAAAGAGCAGAAACAAAATTAATTTAATAGGTATGCATCATTATGAAATTGTTGCGGCGTTTCCTATTCGTGCAATTTCTATGCCGTTTGCTTGCTGTGATTTTTAATTTATTTGACCAGTTTTGAATTTGATTAGCTGCTCAGCTCGTGGCCTGCTCTCTGCCAACGTATCGGAGTCTGATGGACTTGACTTGGAGCTAACTAGAGTATGATAGACTTGACTAAATGTGACAGCTGGTGGGAGTGGACAAAATAAATCGTTTTGCCAAGACTAAAATATCTTTAAATGACTTCCTTAAATGTGTTTGCCTAAAATAATTTACAGGGTATAGCAATAAAT